CAAAAGGCAGCCCCGGCTTACCATCCGTGTCGAATGCAGTGCCCGTTGCCCAGCTTGATCATGACATCTGCCTGTAACTGAGAGATAACACCTTCTGCCTTCCACAGGTCTATTGCCAAAGCCAGAAACTTGCTGAAATCAATGCCTGCTTTGCCCCAGCTCGCCCTTCAGCCGCGACCGCTCGGAGCGGCTGCCGGCGGCGGCGCACCGCTCAGTGAAGAAGTCCTTGAACTCCTCCCAGAACACGATGGAATGGCAAAAGAACTTGATCTCGTGGGAGTAGCCTGACTGAACGGCGATGGCGACGCGCGCCTGTGGATGTGCTTCACAAAACCTTTCCCACGAGTTGAAGCGCGACTTCAGCTGCTTAGCTTGGTTAGCTGCACCGCTCAATAGCGGCGTTGGACCTAGAGCCTTGCTGCCGGACTGGGCACCATGCTCATGTGTGCTCATGGGGGTTGAGTTCGTTGGAAAAGCGTATTACGGTTGCTGGGATGCCAACAGAACAAACGGGAGGGAGAATGATGCATGATTGAGGATGATGTCCCCAATGACCCTCCAGGTGGGGGGCCATCATGCCCATCATGGGGCACATCCTTACCGGGAGGCCTACCTGGGGATGGCGGGCATCCCCGTAATCAATTTATTGACGAGCGGGTACCTTGAGGCAATGCGTGCGGGGCTGGGAGGAGGGAACAAACAGGGCATGAGACAGGCAGTAGTGGGGTGTGGGGTGTGGGCGTATGCCCCACAAGCAGCAGCTGGGGTGGGAGAAGCAGCAAGGCAACACCTCAGCGCGCGCTGGAGAGTGGCCAGGCAGGCACCCGATATGAATAATAAACTGCTGAGTAAGACGGGGAGGGAATCAGGAAACCTGGACAGAGCAACAGATGTTGGGGGTTGCTAGTATCGAGATCAGATGGGAGGGCAGACCGCGGGTTTGGTTGCCGCGCGGAGCTGGGCATTCGTGGGTTGGTGATACGTGGGACAGGGGTAGGGCACGGTATGAAAGAATGGTGGCGAGGGGTTGGTTGAGGGGTTGGTTGAGCGGACAAGGCCCCCAGCGGTTGGGCCAAGGCGAGGCGGGGCTGCGCCGCACTGCGGGCAGCAGGCCGCCGGTTATTTGGGCGCAGGCAGCTGCCGCTCGGGCTGCTGCTGCAGCTTCGCCTTGTGTGTCTGCTTGCTGCACGGCCGCGGCGGGGCCTTGTGCCCCCGCGGCAGCTGCCACGTGGGCGGCCGCACGCGGTCTATCGCCGCGCGTGTGACGGCGCGCTGCCGGGGCAGCCCTAGCGCCTCGGGGCTGTCCAGCACGCCCCAGGTCGTGCGGCCGCCGGCATACGTGTAGCCCACCACGCGGCAGCTCACGGTGTCGTCGCCAAAGGCGCCGCCGCCGGCGACGCCGTTGCGGGCGCGGCCGAGCGTGCCCGAGGCGGCGCTGCCGCCGCTGAGCGCGGCCAGGCTGGAGGTCATGCTGGCGGCCATGCTGCCCAGCATCGCCTTGCCGGCCAGGCCGGTGGGCATGTAGAGCGCCGCCACCTCGTGCACCAGGCTGCCGGAGTGGTAGGTGGAGGCGCGGGCGGCGTGCAGGCGGTCCAGGTGGTCCCGCACCTGGCACGTCTCCCGCACCGTGTCCTCCACCACGCGCCCGCCGCGCAGCGTGGTTGTCCTGCGAGGCGGCGTTCAGGGAGCGGGACAGGGTGGGGTGGGTGGGCGGGGAAGTGGATGCGCGGGCGGGTAAGTGCCTGCAGGGCGGCTCTGCCCCGCCGCCCCTGCACGCGGCGCGGGAGTCCAGCTGTGTGTGATTCTTTACGTGCGAGCGCCTGCTGCAGCCGTGGAGCGTCTTTGCCAAGCGGCACGCACCTCTTGAGCACGTGGCG